CTTTGATCAAAGACTCAAATAAAAGATAAACTATAATCAATACACTCGCATAATAACAATGTAACACCAACGGTTTTGTAACTAATGAGAACACTTTTATTAAAAAGTCAGATGAATTCTCTCTTTCATAAACTGATTTGCAAAAAACTAATTCTGCAAAAAAAATTGACACTTGAGTCCTGCTCATTACGAAACAAAAGGAGCAAAACAGTCCCTTGATGCTATAATTAAGACGGTTTCTGCGTTAATGTTTGGTCAAAGAGGCTTCAAAAGCCTTTGGGCTTTTTGTTTTTTTCTTTTCGTGTTTCAAAAGTAACATCAGAGCTAAATATTTGCTTATTTCAAACAAGAGATTTGATTTCCCTATAATGTTTGCTTGAGGAAATTTGGCCCTGATAAAATCAAAGATTTAAGCTATCATTAAAAGGATAATCAACAAAATTTAGTTCAAATCTACAGGATATTTTTTCCTCAGTAAAAAAGATTAAGTTGATCAAACTGGAAGGAAATCTATTGAGGAACCTGGAAGACAATGAAAGCGATATTGGCGTTTAAAACAGGAAAAGTATAAACCAGTTGACTTATAAACCAGCCGAAAAAAAATAACCGGTTTCAAAATAGTTATGTAACAATTTAAATTATGGGGTGTTTTCGGTAACACTCCCCTTCCTTAAATCGATGAAAACAGAAAATGAACGATTTTATAACAAAATTGAGTCGATTTAACTAAGAAGCTCAGGGCTGATATGCAGAGCGTTGAATCAATTTGGACGAAAGCAAAAACTAAACGACAATTAAAAACGCATTTGGACTCATGCTTGTGAAATTTATTTGAAGAAATCGACAAAAATAGAAAAAGAACCGATTCGAGGTTAAATTTGAAAATAACCGAGAAGACTCTAATCATGCAACAGTATCCGATAAACAACTTTCGTCTAGTTTATTAGTTCATACATTCTGTTCATTTTCGGTTTGCATATACTTCGGCTGGTTGAATCACACTCAAAAGCGACCTTTGGGAGGTGAAAAACAGTTTAGTTCCAGTCAAAGTGTACGCCTCCAGATTAACGGAGACTGAGATGACAGAATAGGTTACAAAGGGACACCTGTCGGAAGAGAAGAGCTTTCTGAGAACGGAAAGCGGCGTGCAGAACAGAAACTGAAAATTCCAAGTGAACTTTGTATCAGTCAAACAATTTTTTATTTGTGCTCGTCGTCAAGTTGAGTTGCAAATTGTAACTTAAAATAAAAATTTTTGCGAAAAAACTTAATGAAATTTAGGTACACATTGTAAAATTTTGCATTCCTATTGCAACCCAGTTTGCCACACACAGAAACCGAACCTTCATTCATCTCAGAGAAAGGAAACCCCTTAAGAGTCCCCTTTTAAAGCTAAATGCAACATACATTGTAAGCTAGCTGACCGAGACCGACCCTAACGTTTTTCCAAAGAATCTTAAGAAATCCATGTTTATATACTGACGTAGCGACGTTTACAGACCTAATTTCTATCTCGTCGCATGTTGCAGTTCAACGAACCTTACATTGAAATTTTCAAGGGAACCGCACTTACCTCTGCTTACAGAGCCAATTTTTTCCTGACTCATCGGGTTTTCGTTATTGCTTTTTTTATGCCAAGATGCTCACACATCAGATACAAAAATATTAAAATTGTCATTTTTGAGATTGCTTTGGCGCATCAAGGTTTTTTATTCACATCAGATCTGAAAGCACTGTCAAGTAGCCAAATCATATTCTGTTTGCTTCACTTCCTCTCAGCACGTGGTTTTAGTGTGTTTACGGCATAATCAATTCCAGTCATTCTCGGAAAATGATTTTTCGTATAGTTTCTGTTTTTGATAAAAATTTGACGAATGTTTGCTAACTTTATCAAATGTGCGGAAACAATATATGTGGCGTACAGGATATTATGAGCTAAGCATAGCGTTTCTTAAAAAAAACATAATTTTACAAAAATGTCATTGCTTAAGCAAGTTTTGATTAACTAAGTCTTCTGAAGCACCAAAGTAGCGACAAATGAAATTGGGATGGACGGATGAAACTTCGCGTTTCGTTTACTACCAATAAATTAAGTGATGCTTTTAATCACGCTTCCGTTCTTCCCGAAAATCCATTTATTACCCTAGACCAAAATGTCTGCAGACTTATGATGACGACGAATCAACTGTTTTCTAAACTATATCTTTGATGCTCTGTCGCTATTTGTTGATTCGAACGAACCACGCTCAAAAAATTTGCTTGGGGTGAAATTTTTCTAGTCAAGCAGAAAAAGTGACGATACTGCTCGTAGATCAGGGCGATTTATTTTTTCGACCGCCTGTTTACTGTTCTCGGACAATTTTTGGTAAAACTTTTTTTGACAACCTAAGAATTTTAGGCTAATAAAATTGAAAATAAAAAGATAAAACGTGGTTAGATGAACGACAAGGAGTTGAGTCCGATTCAGACAGTGAAATTAATGGGCAATTTAAGAAAGACAGTTAAGCAAACGCAAATAGAGCAGAAGCACGGCACCCTAACAGAGCATTAAAAGAAAGCTATCAGGCAAAAAGGTTTATTACTGCAGTTAGTATTGTTTTCGTTTGATTTGAGGACAAGCTAGTATTCCTCTGCCGCCTAATTTGTTCCACTTACCCCCAAAATTCCTTCCTTTTGTTTGTTTTGCTCTTTATTAGGTTCACTGTCTAGATCAGACCCGTCTCCTTTTCATTCACTTTTGAGTCGTAAATGGAACAAGACTGCTGGTATCAGGGCAAAGCCCTGAATGTTCCGACTGCCCTTTAAGGTTTATGGAGCAGTAATAACATTACAAAATTCAATGAAAGAAAACAAAATGAAAAATTTTATTTTTCTAAAACTTAAAATTTTTTATGAAAATCATCCCCCCACACGCCATATAAGGTACAAAAACATAGATTTAGCTCCTTGTAACAAATCAATTATGACAAATAAGCTTCTTTCAACCAATTTGGAACGATTTTAAGACAGATTAACTCTCCGCTTACGCTTTAATGGCGCAAAATATATCGCGCGCTAATTGTCCCAAATTGGCCAAAATGGCAATCGTTAAACCCCCGTATTTTTACAAAAAATGATTGCAGGTTAAAAATCTTTTCAGATTTGAGCTCAGGACAACAAGAGTTTTCGAATGATATAAAAAAATTCCGTCAAAAATGGCTAGTTAAAAAGTAGAAATTTGTCTGAAGAAAAAAAAACCACCCCGAGCACAAATATTCCGTTACTTTCGTATCGAAAGTCGGAACAATTAAAAACCACCAAATAGATTGCTTCAATTAAGTTTGAAACAATTTTAGTCACCCATAAATACAGTGCTGATTTAAACTGAACGGATACAACGAACAACATTGGAAAACTCAAACGCGTTTTTCTCAAATTGAGTTTACATTAAACAAAAAGTGAAGAGAACAAAAGTTTCTTAGATTTTCAACAGATTTAATATGGTGCAATTTATTATTCACAATTCGAAACCAAAAGATTACCTCAAAAATGGTTTATTTTGGCCTTTTTTCTAATGAACCAAGAACCACCTGAAACTACCAGTTTGATCGGGGAGAAATTTATATGAAAAAAGGCTCTTACACAGCCCAACCAAATTCTAGGAAAATAAAATTTCCAAAAATCTGAATAAGAGAATATAATTTCGGTTGATAGCCAAAAAAGTTCGTTCTTTTCAAAAAACTCAAAATCTTTGCTTAAAAACAAAACTCAATCATTTTACGCAAACGTTTGGAAGTTTTACACTTGTTGAATTTTGTTGGGCTGTGTAAGAGACTTCTTCTGTTTTAAGTTTTTCATCGAGTAACACTAGTTTCAGCGTACTTTTTGATTAATTAAAAAACTAAAATGACCCATTTTTGGGTACAATTTTGGGTCAGAAGTTCGAAAAATTAATTGTACCCTATTAATTCTGTCTGATGTTTTGTCTTATGTTAATTTGTGTCTTATGTTAACCTAATTTGAGAAAAACGCGTTTAATTCAAGCATATACATTCCTCGCTCTCTTCGGAAGTTGGAACAGTAATTTATGGAAGTGGAACTATTCATAAGCTGGCCAATTGTCGGCAAAAACCTTCTGATTAAGTCCCGTGACTTATTGTAGCTTTTAGTTTTCAGCATAAAACAACTGAATAAAAACTTTTGCCAAGTTTCGACGTTGTTTCGCAACTACTCGAGTTTCATGACTGATAATTCGACAAATAAGGGATGGAACTATTTAAAAGGGTTTAACCGGACCAAAAGCAAAATATTTTGAATAGTTGAATCCATCATTGCTGAGGTTTCCGTTCTCACACCGATAGAGGTTTCCGTTCACAACTTTAGTACTTCTTTTACACCTTCTAACACCTTTTTCAGTGACAAAATTCAGCAAAATTGAACTGCTAGGATCGGTTGAGGCCAATGGATTTATTAAATTTTGGTTTTGTTAGAATTCACAATTGAATTTTAATCAACGTTTTGTTAAGAAAATGATGTTTTCATCAAAAATCGGCCCGAGCTTGAAAGTTTTGTTTCGCAACCGGGCCGGGTCTAGCCCGGGCCTGAATCAAGTGGGCCCGGCCATGTCCGGGCCTCAAATTCAGGCCCGGTTCCAACTCTGGTCATAGATCAAAATATCAGCCATAATTTTGAAAAAATTGCAGAGTAGTTGAAAACTTGAGAACTAGTAATTTCAACTTTTTGTCCCATGACTGCACTTGAAAAAATAATAATAAGCTCAAGTTCAAAAACGATCAAATGAAACTACTCTAATCTCTTAGCCTCTGAACTACTAATCTGCTAGGTACGAATCAAAGCTTTTGTAACACTCAAAATTCAAAACAGACAACAAACGTAAATATTTGCATGCTTGAGCATATAGATAAGTTTTAAATTTTGAAAAAATTAAGCGTAACTAACACATAACCAACATAAATCAGTTGCTCTACTTTTCCTTAACCCATTTTGAAATTTGAGCTCACCTGTTGACGACTTCCTGAGGGTCTCTTTCCGGACACCCGTCGTGCAAGGAAGGAATCTAAGCACAATGACACAACACACTAAAACGACAGGCCATATTTCGGATCTCTTTAACTATTTCCCCAAGTACGGTATCTTGTGAAAATTTGCTGCTCCTATACAAAACTAACACAGCGGTTAAACAAATGTGAGTTTTGTACCTACTAAAGAATCTCCCCCTATTGCAAAAGGGGAAAGATAGTTGAAAAGATCTCAATTCCAATTGCAGCGCCAAGCAAGTTTGTAGAAAAAGAATTCTGTTTGAATTATCGGGACTATTAGATAAAAATCGAGACGAAGCAAAATGACCTGGGTCGAGGTTTAAGATTGAGGCTTTCGACTTAGGGTTCGACTTTGTGTTTCGATCGATTCGACTGTATGTTTCGACTTTGAGTTCGACTATGTTTGACGATAGGGCCTCATCGTCTATGGATTTTTGGTCGATCTCTTACATTTGTTCGACCCGCCTAAGTCAAAAGATAAATCGCAAACTTCGACCCGGTGACCGACCAACTTTTCGTTTTTTTCTAGTTGTTCTGACCATTGAAAATGGGGAGGAACTTCGTATTCGGGTGTGTTTTAGATTTTTTCTTTTATGTTTTTCAAGCAAAATCAGCCACCACAAATAATCCTTAGACTGGGTTGAGTGATCTATCATATAAAAGCCCTTCAATCGTGATTCGAACTACATTAAAAAATTGTCAATAATTTTTTCTAGTCTCAAGAAAAACCGGTTTGAAGATCGAGCGAAAAAAAAAAACAAGCGAGCATGCTTACAACAGCTGAAAATGGCCTAATTTAAGGCTTTAAAACTTCCTTTTAAGCAAGTAAAACTAGTTTTTAGAGTTTTTAGCTTTATTTTGGAAATCAAAAACTTCAAAAACTCAAAAATTTTCTGCAAAAATTTTTGAATTTTTTTTAAATTTGATTTTTAGTTTTTCTAGTCATTTTTCTAAACCATTTTTTGTCCAGGGTGCCTATTTTTCTACGACTGTATTTTATGCCTATATTATTTTTTTTTTGCGTCAGATCCTTTTATCACACCTAACAGAAAAAAAACTACTCTCATTTGGAATATTTTTTTCTAAACCGTAGTTTTCTAAAGAATATGGTCGGAACATTTTGTGCTACTTCACAGTAACCAGCTATCTTTGTTTTTCTTATAATAATTTCACACCAGCTAATCTTGTTCCACAATTGATCGAGGCTTTTGGTTTCATCGTTGCGCTATTAAATCAGGAATTTATCACCTTACACGGCATGTAAAGGACAAACTTTCAAAAAACCTTATATTACGAGGCCAAACTTTTGTGCCTATATGTTCCCGAATTCCAGAAACAAGTGTCTAAACATGTTCAATTATTGTCGGAACGATCAAAGGAAATGAAAGAACAACAATGAAAGTTTCTGAGGTAGGTCAAAAGGCGGTTTTTGAGAAAAAGATTGGATGATTTTGTCTTTTTTTGAGGCCGACCAAATTAATTTTTAGAACTCTACAAGAACGGATTTCAGTTGCACAAAAAAGAACTTGAAAATTTCGTAGGATTAGGTGAAGTAATACGATACGGAATAAGCTCATACAAGCTAAAGAGCTTTTCATAGATCCTTGTGATCCGCAGCAACAACTGAATAAATTGTTCCGACTAGTGAAAATGGGAAGGAACTATGTAATTGGGTGCAGGGCTTTTCTCGAGGATTGGAGATTTTCAAATATTTTTTTTGCAAACTATTTCGATTTTTTCCTTTTTAGGCTGATCAAATTGAATTTTTGAGAATTCCCACCCAGAACAATATAAAGACCTTATTTTGACAAAAAAAAACAATTCACGTTTTTTTTAATAATGCGTCTTTTTTTTGAACAAAAATAGTTAATAGACAAAAAAGCGAATTTCAAATATTCGGGGTTTTGCCCTGACGAGCACAGTTTTGTTTACACTTTGACTGGCTAATTTACGACCATCTCAAAGTGAGATGCATAAAAAATTTGGGGGGTTTTATATTCGGGAATCCTTTTTGTAGTCCCTGCCTACCCGCCCTTTGGCTTATTCTTTCCCGGGGAACTCCGTTATCCCTTCAAACGGGATTTTTATTTGAGCCTCTCCGTCGTTTATTACACACTCCTTCTGTGTCTTCTGTTTGATCTTCCAAAAATAATCTTTACCACATTTTGCTGGGTGAGTTTAACAGATCAAGGTCAAACTTTATCGAAGAGTGATTTTTTATTATTCAAACTTCCCTAGAGAAAAAAGCAGAATGATCAAAAAAATTCTGATTTTTTTAAACGCTGAAATAAACGAAAGCATTAATTGTCAACTGACAAAAAATAAAACAAAATTTAGCTCAAAAACTATAATGCAAAGCATATATCATTTTATTTTGTTACACAAAGCACAAGCATATTGATAATATTAATAAATTCCAAATTTCTACTAACTTCTGCTGCTGGAAGATCTTGAAATGTTGTTGTTTTTTGCTGACGGAGGAGATGTTGGCAATGACCCGTTAGGTGTCATTGTTGTATATTCATTTGTACTTGGCGTGGCGCTGACCCTGGCAACAAGAGTCTGGAAAACGAACCGCATGGCCTCCTGGTCCCAGTCACAGATCACGTGACCCAGTTGGTTCTGCAGTTGAACTGGCACTATTGGGTTCGAGTCACTACAATGGTTATTGTTGCAGCTGGCTCTAGAGTGGCTAGAGTGATGAGTTTCTCTTTCTCTGCTCTTGATCTGTTGCAGCACTTTTTCATCCACAAAAGGGTCAAGAAAGGTCACCACGATATCCCTGGAAAAAATAGGCACATTTATATCCTGGAAAAAAATCGCTGGAGGCGAGGTTGGAACTGAGCTCAACAAATGAAAAAATACTTTTTGTTAGTTTTTAGTCTACGCGTAAGAATAATTCATACGAGGAGGTTGTATTAAAGGGCCTTAAGTTTCGTTTCGAGAAAAAATTAGCTAAAATTGAACCGACCACTTCAGGGGTTAGTTGTCGACCACTACACGACCCATTTGGGACAGACTTTGAACACTATAAAAACTCAAAGGAGATTCAATGCGTAGCCATATGGAAGCTCTTCCAGCCATGATTTGGAATCCAAAAAAAAATCAGAAAAGTCTGTGTCAGAAAAACTTAATTTGAGTTGTTTCGCCTTTCAGACCAACTTTCACGAAACTTAAAAACAAGGCATTTAATGGCACTGAACTTGATGTTAAAAATTAGTTTCAACAGTTTTTGGCACAAATTGAGGATTTTAATGACCCAGTTAAGTTATTCTTTGATTGTAGTTTCTCGAATTTCTGATATTGTACTCAAAATTACAGCTGAAATCTCTAACTGGCTGAGTACTAAATTAATTATCGATTGCCTTGATTTAGATGGCACAACTTTACGGATCACAATTTTATAAATGGTTTTGATCCCTTGTTGCTATTATGTTTTCAAAAGTTGTAAGTTTCATTTTGATGCGGTAATTGGTTGTCATTGTGGACACCTAAAAAACTAATATCCTTTTTCTTGTCTCGAATTTGATCACCAGTTTTAAGTGTTTGTTGCTTTTTCTAACTTTTTTTGAGCAAAAAATTTCAGCTCCATCCTGAATTATTTTTAAAAGTTGCTGGTTAACTTTTTTCAGCAAATTAGCGATGTTTTTGCCGAGCTACTTTTCAATTGGTTAATTTTTCATTCATGACTTAGGAGTATCGAATCATATGCATCGTGTCTGATTTCACAATTCACCGTTTTGTTCATATAATCCTCACATAGACTAAATAAAAGGGGTTCAAGTATTGTACCTCTAGTCCTCTAAGGATTGTGACCTGTCTAAAAACGATTTGATCAAAAAAATTGTAATCTTCGAATGATCAAGAGAAGCACACGCAACAAGAGGCTTATTATCAACTTGTGTTTTGATATTTTTTTGGTGCATATACAAAACAGTCCCATACAAGACAGTCCAATACAAAATAATCCCAAAAATCATGTAATGGAGGAAAAAAACAGTCCAATACAAAACAGTCCGGTTTAAGGTCGCCTGTGGGCGCGCTGTGCGTGCGTCGCCGTTTTGCGGCGACAACTGGCTCTAAATTTCTTATTAAGTCCTACCCTCTGTTGGCAAGCTCGCAACACGTTGGCGCGACTGCGGCGGTCTCTATTTTGCTCATTATGCTGAACAAAACGACAATTCTCGGCTTACCGGCTTGTTAAAACAATTATTGATTGGGACTGTTTTTCGGACTGTTTTGTATCGGACTGATTTTTCGTTCATTTTCATACTTTTCAGGACTGTTTTGTTTTGGATTGTTTTGTATGTTTTGTACAGAAAAGATTTTTTCAATAACTTATCTCATCTGTGGTCGAAAAAATATTGCCGAAATGGAAAATGATGTTTTCTCATTAATCAGAATTTATCAAGGAACTGAATGATTTGTTGATGCGGAATTAAAGAGTTATTGCTAATGGAGGAGTAACAAATAGTGATCTTTAAATTATGATATCTTCTTTGAAACGTTTTTTTTGAAAAAGTTGTTTTGTTAGCACATTTAAGCCTATCAAGAAAAATAATGCTAGCGAGATATGCATTAACTATATTTTTTGCCAACCCGGGTTGACCCCCAGAAACCGAAAAAGCTTATCTTACAATTCCATGCACAAAAAATGCTGATCATTCAATTCCATGCATCAAATGTATGGAAAAATGCTATTCATACAATTTTCAGATAAATTTCAAAAAACAAATGAGAAAAGATTCGAACTAGTTTCTGCGGCTATTTGAACCAAAGAAACAGCCTGGTGATGAAAAACAAAATTATGTTTCTTTTTTCGGAAAAAATGTTTTTCATAGAATTTCCATATGTGAAGGTTTTATGACTAGCTTTTTTTGATGGCGACAACAAAATTTTTTCCAATTAAATTTAAAATTGCCCCAAAATTTTTTCTGTTTTTTTTTCAACCGCAAATCGAATTTTGCACTCAAACACACATTTTGCAAAAACAAAATTTGTCTGCATAATGTAGTCCTGGGTACAAAAAAATGGATTTTTTTTCAGCTTCTCTGGATAACTTTTTCAAACAGGCTAAAAATTCCTATTTGTTTTGTATGGCATGTTTATTTACGCCTGGATCAATGTCTGATAATTTGAAAACTCTAATTTTAAAAAAGAATCATCTTTCAGCATATCTTTTGGGAAGAGAACTCTTATACAATTCGTAGTTTCCAATGCATTGTAAATGCCAGACGATCAACCCTTTGATGTCTCTAGTTTGGAGTAAAACATGGTTTTAGTCACTTGTGTTCGGTCATGAACACATCCCAAAATTTCTAAGAAAAATATAACTTCTTGGTTTATGAAAAAAAGCTTATCCTACAATTTTCATGTATGAAATGAGTTCCTTATCTTAAAGTTTTCATAACATTTTCTGTATCTATGGAATTGCACGAAATTGTATGATAAGCTATTTTTTATAATTTGAAATTGTAGGACAAGCATTTTTTGTCAACCCGAGAATTTTGCTATTTATTTGGCCGTGTTTTGAAGTGCCCAAGCTAGTATTTAAGAAACACAGGAAGATTTATTTCTCTTCAAGCAAGACGTATTAGTAATTCATACTGCTTAACAAATATAAAGGAGAAAAATCCCTCTGACTGAGGGTACTGAACGGAGGGACACTTCGAATGGGCTGGACCCCCAAGAGGGGTAGTCCGCACCACTGGCCTCCTAAAATCACTACTGATGAGCCACCCTCTGGTGAGTTTTCTTTTTTGGTTGGGGGTCGGGGTGCTTAAACTTACGTAATTCACTTTGAACTGATCTCAATCTTCCCCCATTTGTCCTCTTGATTTGAAACTAACAGTTCAAATGTGCTTCTTGCTGTTTTTCAGACGTATTTAAACAAACTACAAGCCCCCAATTAACTATAGGCGATAGAAGCTTTACTAGCCGGAGTGTATTTCCTGGGCAGATGGGGACGATGTAGTCGGCATGTCCAATGATCACCAACTTCAGATGAGGAACTGCACTTGATTCTCTGTTGTCATCGGGAGGAAGGAGAGAGTCTTCAAACTAAAACCGAGATAAGGATTTGGATCAGGTGCCGATCTAGGATTTTCTCGAGGTGGGGGCAGATTTTCAAAAAAATTTTCGAAAACTTTTTCCACCTTTTTTTAGGTCGAGCAAATTGATTTAATGAGCTCTCCCAAAGCACTAAAAGACCCTGTTTTGGCTAAATTTTTACGCACTTTTTGATAAGTTTTGACCAAAAAATCTTAAAATAGTAAAAAGGGGGACCCTTTGGGTCGGCAAAGGGTCGAATCCCTGAGAAGAAAAAAAGCGTCCCCCTAAATCCGCCCCTGATTTGGACAGGATGTTATTGTTAACAAACGCCAATACCCCAGTACCAAATACCCAATCTTATATAAAACTAATATAATAATTATTCATACACGAATATTGAGTCTGATATCGGAGTTCCACCCCTTTTACAAAAGAGATAGAGGGTTGATAACAAATCTTGTTGCACATACCTTGAGTATGAAATGTGTAAAATTGGTAAAAGTCCTTTAAATTGAAACATTGCAATAAGGTTGAAGATTTTTTTTCAATTATGTAACGAGCACCAGAAACGAACTTAATTCTCTAATTTCAAACAATAGAAAAATATAGCGATTATCATAAAACCTTGAAAATTACGCCGATGGCAGTGATAATAAAAAACAAAAATGTTACTGAATAAATCAATGAAGCGTATCTGCTATTGTTTCTTTTTCCCATTTATTTAAATCAACCTTTTCTTTTCAAGCAATTAAGATTCAACGCATGCAACCAGCTTTAGGATCACTTCAGAATTAAGACGTCCTTGAAAAATTTTATGTATTTATTTGAAAAACTGGAGTTATTCAAAAATATGGAAATAACGAAGCGAAGCTTAAACTCACTTTTATTTTAATTTATGGTCCAAAAACAAATTGTCGCAAAACAGGGAAACAGGAAAACCAAAATTGAATTTTTCAACCCTAAGTTAACAATCATATCCGATGGCAATGATAACCGGTAGCTCTGTAAAAAGCATAAATTGTTCAATCAAGGTCATCTAATGTTTTTTCGAAATTGTAGCAAAGGTACGGCGGTTTTTTATCCACGCAAATTCAGGCCGTGAAAACAAACCTCGTAGCTTTTTCAAGAGGATTTGAGCATCAATGAAAACGTCCAAAAATATTCCTTTCAATAGAGTCAGGATTTGAGCATCAATGAAAAAATCTAACAAAGATTCCTTTCAATAGAGTCAGACTATTCATTAACAATTTATAAGGATATTTGCAAAAAGAGCTCTCAGGGCTACTTGCAGAGCTCACAAACTCACGTTTTTTGGTTTTTCTTAAGAAATTTTGTCCTTGTTAGAGGGAAGCATTGGTAGGAACCTAAGTTATGCAAATGATTGGAGTGTTGATAGCTCCTTTCAAAATTGTTGATTGACTTCGGACTGAAGAACTAATGTTATACGTTTATTCTTTTAGGTCGACATTATCTGTCTTTTCCTTCTCTGTATTAAATTTTTTGAAGAATTTTTGAAACACTACTGAAAAGATTGCTTTTTTTGCACCCCCGCTACCTGCAACTTCGATGTAAATATCGATTTTTATTCTCGCCCTTGTAAAGACCGGTCGTTACATCATAAAACTGGTGTTCAAGTAAGATGGAGGGGAAAATATCTGCCTTTTTAAGAGATAACTTGATCTCATGTATTTTTTCCGAGCTGCATGAAACTATTTGAAGTATAAGCCAGGGAAATGCTCGAAAACAAAGTTTTTTTTATTAAACATTGAAATATTGTTGTTTTCAAAATAAACACATCTTTCTGTTTAAAATTGCAAAAAAAGTTACTTAAGATTGATTGATGTTTGAACACTCAAATTTCAAGGAACTCCCCAAAAAGTTATGATTTCGACAAAAACTAAGTTCATGTGAAAATTGTCTAATGCAACGCATTCACGGAAGTTTTTTTACAGTGCCCAGTTTTTAGTTTAACAAGTAATTACATGTAGTATAAAAAATGGACTAATACTTCAGTGATCTACATGTCTTACACTGTGCTCGACTGACTGTGGTTGACCATGTTTCGACTATCTTGTTAAAACCAGATATTTTTGGATTTCGTGTTCGTTTGAAAATTGCTTTTCTTTTGCGCGCGTACAATCGCAAAACTGCAGCTTCTCGTTGCTTAAAATAAAATCAGCAGTCGGGTATCTTGTTGTTCCGACTTTCGATACGAAAGTAACGGAATATTTGTGCTCGGGGTGGGTTTTTTTTTCATCAGACAAATTTCGACTTTTTAACTAGCCATTTTTGACGGAATTTTTTATATCATTCGAAAGGTATTGTTGTCCTGAGCTCAAATTTGAAAAGATATTTCACCTGCGATCCTTTTTTGTAAAGTTACGGGGGTTTAAAGATTGCAATTTTGGCCAATTTGGTACAATTAACTGAGTTAGGACTGGAGTGTATAACTCATAGAGTAATTTCGGATAGGGTACACCGTCTGCTCGTCACGCTATCTTATTTTCGGCCGGATAGATTCGTGCAACTTCTTAGTCTAATACCAATCCTAATCTTACTCTTATACTATCTAGTCTCAGGTTGTTTAACTAGTCTCTGCTAGGCTCAATAGATCTAGGGTATACTGGTTTATTGCGGTTGCTGAAGTCTTCTTGGAGAGTCAACTAATTTCTAAGTTAAATTCAAATCTCTCTGGTGCTGAAATTACAAGTAATTTCAGCACTTACAAATAAGTGGATTGTTAGTTAGATGGATCATGATTGGTTAATATCAAATACTTTACATTGGTAAAATATCTAATTTATCCAATCATAAAATGTAGTTTAGATCAGGTTCCACCCATCCGGGTTTTACAGAGTTTTTTGGAATAGTTTTTCTGCAATTCGAAGGATGGATGATGGACGTTGGTTTCTGGCGAACATCATATTTCTTCTGGGTTCTCTTGTTAGAGAAGTTCCAGGTTCGATCGTTGTGTCATCTCATGACAACGACTGGGTCTTTGCAACAAACTCAAATCTGATTTCAGAATGGTTGGCTATGTCAGGTTTTTCTGTTTCATTGATGAGAACTTCTTTGTGTTTTGATCTTGTCTAGGAATGACGTGGAGATTGTGCGTGGAGGGGATGCCTGGTTACTCGGATCTGTACGTATACTTGAACATCGAGGTGGTCATTGGTCTAGTTCAATGAAGTCCTTTTCTGCGAAGTCAAGTCGTACTCTAAATCCTTTGAGTTGTGATTGTGAGCGGCAGATTGATTGTAGGTGGCCATTCTTTCTCGAGTGTAGTGGGATCGTTTTGTCTTTGGATGTTCGTCCTTGGTGTTGTATTCTGATCTATGTATTGCATAATGTAATTTACATTTTATAAAATTTTTATTAGTTTAATATTTTTTAATTATGATTTTAGTTAGTTGTTTTCACAAAAGCTTTTTGTTTTAGTTCAGTTATTTTGAAGAGTTACTCACCCTTGAGTAGCTCTAATTAAAAATAGGAGTGTGGTCACAAAGCGTGGATATAGCACGGTGGGTTAGTCCGGCTATAGAGCATGCTCAGGACGTCCTCTTCTGGTGGGTTAGGCCAGGAGTGGGAGTATGATTGCATGCGGTTTTTGTGAGAGGTCCTGTTATGTGACAACGTTTTATGTTGGGTTTGTTGTAGTTTTTCTTATGTTTTGTTGGTTGTGTCCTTTTTTCAAAAATCAAATTGTTTGTGGTATGGGTTTGTCTTTCGACTTTTTTGTGTTTTATTATTTCTTTCTTAGACTTTATAATAGTCTTCAAAAGAATAAATTATCCAGTTTTAAACTGGGTTAATCCGGTTTGGGTACCGTTGGTTTCCTTTTCTTAGTCATGCTGTTATGCTATGTGTTGTGGTGTTTAGTAAGCTGCATTGGTTAGTTTTGTTTAGTATATAATTCCTTTCCAACCGGGTTAAAGGAAAGTTTGAAACTTGTTATCGTGTGTTAGAGTTGTTGAGTGTGAAAGCTTGAAACTGAAATTCATTATTTTAAACAATTCTTCGTGGGCGAGCTGTGCGAGTGTGGATAGAATCTTTGTGCGAATGAATTGAAATATCAAAAGGTTAGTACTGCATTTGATTCTTATTAATTTACTACATAGAATTTCAATTTTACTGCTAGTTGTTGGGGAAAATTAAGTTACAAATTTTCATCATTATTAGATTTACTGCATTTGGGAAAAAATTTATAAATTAAATTATTGCATTGGTATTATTTTTATTTAATTATTTGGTGCAAAAAATTAATAGAGTTTTAAACAGTTTTTGAAGAAGTTTGCTATTTTTTATTTTTCTTTTGTGAATTTTTCAGATGATCGTTGGATGAAGGCTAAAATGCTAAATAAGACGTGGATAAAGAATGGTGAGTTTCTAATATTTTAATTAGTTAGTTATATCTATAATTCATACTTACCTGTTAGTCGTCAGGGAAGAAACCGTGGGGGAAGATGTCGTGGATGAGATCGGAAGTTGTTAGTAGTTTAGCTAAAATGCGGATGATATTTTTAGTTTGAAGCAGTGGCCAAAGCAATTGAAGTGCTTTAATGGTGGTTAGTTCTTCAGTGCCAACTGCAAACTCATAAGGTGTGTTTTGGATTAGATTATATAATTTGTGATTGAATTTAGTGTTGTGGATGAATTCTAAAATGGGGATTTCTATAGGTTGAACAAATTCGTGTGGGATAAGGAAGGGTCGGGATTCTTCTGCATTGAAGGTCTTGGTGATTTGACAAAAAATATACATTTGGGTTATGGGATCATAATTTCGAAGAATACCATGAAGGTTAGTATCTTTAATGCAATATGTGAAGTTAAGAAAGAATGGTGAGGTGTATTTGGAATTGATGAATTGAAAACGATGGTGTGGTTGTCTGGAGGGAGTGTGTAGATCGAAGTGATTTTGGATGAAACGATAATATGTATATGTGTGTGTTTGTTTAGTGCGCAACATAATATCGTGTGAGCAGTGCAAATCTCTTTCATGTGGTGCAAGG